ACATAACAGAGATTCTCAGCCCTGAAACTCAGCTTCTTACATGTTCTCTCTCTGTTTTTTTCCAGCTTTACAGTATATGTAGTTTTTAGAGCAAAATACAAAAGATTTCAAGACAAGAATTTCAGTCAAATTTTATTCACATGATATTAAAATCCTTTAACCCATTATAGCAAGAATTTAAAAGTAGAGTCAGATTTCACTGATGATGGATTGAGACTTGACTATATGGTCCTCCTTTAAATGCAAATTCAATACAATGCATATTAATCGCATCTCCCTGATGTGCAAATATTATATATACAAAACAATTTCTCAAAGAGTAGACTATATCGGGATTAAGTAAACAGTTCCCTGACGTTTTATCATTAACAATTCAGCACCACTTGCAGTGACAACACCTCGCAACGTCGCACCTCACAATGTAGGAAGGTAAAGACATAAAGCAACATAAAGCAACCTCTTTGTTACAAAGTCTTTAGTAAAAGCGTCACTCAGCGGTCAAAAGCCGCAGGTGCATTTACTATTGCAGCGGTGATGGGAAGCATGATGGCAGAGGGGAACATATTAAAGTGTTAACATCTGTATATATCAAGGAACACGCCAAGAAAGGTTATAACTTTAATAAAGATGTACAGAACCATTCTCCGGTCTGCGTATAGCCCACAAACACAACGTTATCCAGAAATGCAACCCAGAACATTCCACCAATCAGAGAGTAAAGCTGTTTTTGCAGATACAGTTAGTCTATTGATATCACTTTCTTTATGTTTTTAAATGTGTTATTTGCAATACTTAAGTGGACTGGAGTTTTTCCTGCATTAAAAGAAGTTTAGTACACAATCTTATCTTTTTGTCTGATTTTATACACTTCTTTGCTTAAAATCAAATGCATCTGATAGCTGACTGGTTTGGTTTAAGAATTTTAAACAGTTGTGGCAAAAATGAATCTGAATAATACTTTCAGTACCACAGTTTCAGTTGTGTAAAAATCACTGATGCCGCATTTTAGATAAAGTGTGAAGCTATCCAAGTTATACTTTGTTCATCTTGACCTTCATTTTACTGTTTTGTTTGTTTTGATGCTTTGCTTTTCTCAAAACATGTGATTTCAGATTGAATTCTGTCCCTTTTTTAAAGCTGGACTGGAGCTGGTCAGTCTCACCACACTGGAAGTTCTGCCACCATAAAATAAACTTTTGTTTCCCTTTTCCTGCTTGCCTGGTTAGTTGTGACAGTCTGAGTTTATATTGTTTTCAAGCGTTTTATTGGATGAAATGAGTCAGCGGATACACAAAACCACACAGGTGTGAATGTCAGCTGTGATCCTGGCATTGTTGTTTGATTAACTGTCAGATGTTACAGGTCTTTGAGCAAAGGTTGTGGAGTTTTAAACTATAAATGCATCAGCAGTAGCTCTGCTTAAATCGTTTTGAAGGTTGTAGTGGAAGTGTGGCCAGGATACACAGCAATAGTTCATAAGATGTCCAGAAAGGTTTTGTTCTGTCACAGATAAGAGGTTATGGATTTGTTCAAATCTCTGTGATTCTCTTGACTTTTAGTACCTGAGACTGGGCCAAGATGAGACAAGCATGTCTGATTCTATTGTTTCTGCCAGTGCATTTGACCTAATCACAGGTTTCGCTTTCAAAACTCAAATACTTTTCCATCACATGGCTAAAAGGAGGATTTGTTTAGAATTCTTTGGCCTTCAATTTCCCAGAGTAAATCTCCAGTCCAGTCAGTGTGATAGGCAGTAACTGTAAGATGAATTTAGACATTTGATGGCAAATAAAGTCTTTATTTGCATTCCTTATGTTTAAATGAATGTTAACCTTTAAAGCAGGGGTCACCAATCTTGGTCCTGGAGGGCCGGTGTCCCTGCAGGATTTAGCTTCAACTTGCCTCAACATACCTGCCTGGGTGTTTCAAGTATACCTAGTATGACCATGATTAGCTAGTTCAGGTGCATTTGATTAGAGTTGGAGCTAAAATCTGCAGTACACCAGCCCTCTAGGAACAAGTTTGGTGACCACTGCTTTAAAAATTTTCAGCCAAAAATTTATTTGGTTATTAACCCCTGAGACCTTCATTCATCAAATTAAGATATCATGTTCAAAAAGACATCAAATTATTTGCTTAAAACCTCAAATTAAAACACAAATGAAGACATTTTATATGTTATCTGAGAGCTCTCTAATCCTCCATTGACAACAATGGTCCAGAGTCCAAAAAGGAACCAAAAACATTCCATGTGGTTTCAGGGGTTCAACTGTTATCATACCTCGAAGAACATTTTAGTATTTACACTTTAACAACCATACATATGACTTTGTACACCTATATCATCTTTCCGGCTTCAGGTCATCAGGGTGTATGTTTACTATGGGCAGTATGACGAATTATTATTAAAGTCTGCAGCACAAAACATGTTGCCTGTAGTAAACGCACACCTTGAACTGATAGAGAAGACAAAGTCGTTTAAAAATAAATTGTTTTTTGAAGCTTAATATGATTACAGAACCACTGATGTAACATGGAATGATTTAAGAGTGTTTTTGGTTTCAATATCTCAGGACCATTGCTGTCTATGGAGCTTGTGAATTTATTTTTAAATACCTTGATTTGTGAGGAAGGGTCACATTTTGAAGATGAACAGTCTCAGGGGATTGTAATGACATGAAAGTTGGTAATTAATTAATTAATTAATTAATAATGAATTAATTATTAACCCTTTAAGAGTATCTTTTAGTGTCTTTGTGAGAATACAGACAGATGCAGTCGGAGTTAATTTTGTTATATTGCTGTTTATCCAACAGTAAAATGTAGAATGGACCTCAGCAACCTGTTTCTGCTTGTTTTTTGTTGCACAACAGACTTGAAAACCAACCTCCCAAACCTTCGGCCAGATTTTAAACCAGTACTGTACATCAACCTTATTTAAAAACAAGAATACATAATCACACATGCCTCTTTACATCACTTTTTTATAGATTAACATATGCAATCAAACACACTTAGAACATGCAATGAAGGATCTGATATTATATGTCAGATCTGTCCATTATGTAAGAGTTTAAATGCAAAAAGTGTGTGTAATGTGTATTGGGTTTCTTAAAAAGAACTTGCTTTGTTCTTGCAAAAACACTTTTTAATTAAAGTGTTCCAACGATGAAAATTTTTGTAAGCTGTTTGGACAGAACTGTGTGTAGGTATAGTTTGTCAAACTGTCCTACTGGAGTGATATAAAATTCTAGTGATATGGAGACCCAGCGCAATGTGCAGAAGGAGTGCGACTTTCCCTGCCCATCGAATTGATTGACAGATGCCATGTCTCCATAATAACATGTATACACATTTTTTACACTGTGATTAAAACACGTTACAAGTCTCTGTGATCATCTGCACCTCAATAATGCATTTTATAATTTAAAACATTTTTAAAACAGAGCATGTTTGTAATAAAGACGTGTGTAATCCTTAACCGCTATAATCACCACGGCCCACGTATGTGTGTGTGTGTGTGTGTGTGTGTGTGTGTGTGTGTGTACTGCAAACAACATTTGTGAAAGACTCATTATTTCAGAAAGGCTTGAACAGACTCCACCACACATACATCAAATAAACTTGCTGTATTTCAGCTTTATCCGTGTCTGTCTTTATCATTGATGGCTGTTTATCTGACTTAATGCATGAAAAGCAGACACGCACATCAGAGCAATAGTGGGGAGAAGCAGCTCATTTGCATTTAAAGCCACAGGCCAAAACAACTGCTACATTGTGATCAGACACTGAAATGGGCAGATTCTACATTATATAATCAATAATCTGATGGGTATTTTAAGCTGAAACTTTACAGACAAATTCTGGAGGCACCAATGTCTTATCTTACTTCTTGTAAAATGGGTAAAATAGGTGCCCTTTGAAGACATTTTTAATGTTATAAAAATAATGAAAAACACTGAAAAAAGTGTTATCGTGGCAAAAAAAAAAGAAAAATACCACATCTAAATGAGATTACATTGTAATAATGATTCACAAATTTAATGTTAAAATTATTTTAATCAAATATAAAAAGTCTTACGAAACTTTTCAAAATAGCAATATATTGTAACTTTTTAAATAATAGTAGTATAAATATACTGACACCAGGAAGCTAACAGTCAAGAGTTTGGTTGTTAAATGGATGTGGAAAGTGACCATTTTCTGCCCACAAAACAGTGTGGATTTGGTGTTAAAACTATAATTATGCTGGAGTTCTTCATGCCAGAGCGCACGCCAGCGCCACGCTGGATATGATTTTAATTACACTTGAGCAAACAGCATAACTCTTCATAAACCACTCTACTCTTTTATTTTAATGTTCCCTCACTCACAGCACAACCCCATCTGTCCACAGACGCATTCATCTTTTGAACATGCTTTCCAGGTCTTTTCGGGGTCTCTGTGATCCTGTAAAATTAAAAGGACTCCTCCATCATTGCGTCCACCATTTTACTGATTGGATCAAATGACAGTTGTTGTCGTCTGTGTGTTTCTGTGTCTGTGATGTACATATTAAAACATATTTATTGATGAAACGAATGAGTGCACAAAATTAAGAGAGCAATTTTCAGGGATTATTATGAGCTTTGAGCAGTGATAATAAGTATAGAAAAAATCTCTCACTTCTTTTCCTTTCATGTTGAAATTACAGAGGACAAGAGTCAACATTTCCAGACACGTCCTCCATAAGACTCCTCAGATCTTGCTCATGACTTGCACTCATGTGTGTGTGTGTGTGTGTGATGCTGACTTACGTAAGCAACAGTAGTCCTATATATATATTTACACAGAAAATCCCACCACTTGTCTTTTTTTAGTTAACGACTAGTCTCGTCTTCCTTTCCGTGTCCTGTTTGAGTGAAGTCATTTGATATTTTCAGATGTTTGTTCTCTGGTGTCCATTTCTTCCGTTCCTACATTCTCATTACACCTCATTTTCTCTGTTGTTTTTGTTTCAGCTCTCCATGATAACCCCAACAGCCTGCGATACAAGTACAATTTCATTGCGGATGTCGTAGAGAAAATCGCCCCTGCTGTGGTTCACATTGAACTTTACCGCAAGTAAGTTTCTCACATTAGCGTTAGTTCATTTGACCAAATAGCCCTTTTTTCATCACTCTTTTTGTGTTGTTTAGGATGGTGTACTCAAAGCGTGAGATGGCAGTGGCGAGTGGCTCTGGGTTTGTGGTGTCGGATGATGGCCTTATTGTGACTAATGCCCATGTGGTAGCCAATAAAAACCGAGTGAAGGTGGAGCTTAAAAACGGAGCCTCGTATGATGCTAAGATCAAAGATGTTGATGAAAAAGCAGACATCGCACTTATAAAGATTGATTTGCCGGTAAGAGAAGCAAACACAATGCTTTTACATTTGCAACATAAAAAGTACTAACAGTTCATTATCGCTTTTTCTACAATAATATGCATGACCAGCTGAGACAATATAACAAAAATAGAAACAAACACAATTTAGAAACTGTGAGGAACTGTTAATTAACGGCAATTAATTTTAAAAATGCTTATTGAAAAAAGAAAATAAAGCCCAAACATTTATAACAATTTTTCAAAAATAGCAAATTTACAAAAATTATAAAGGTTAGTAATTAGCATAGTTGGTAATTAACAAGTTAGTAATTAGCATTGTAATAAAAACAGCTTTCTTGATTGATTGATTGATTGATTGATTGATTGATTGATTGATTGATTGATTGATTGATTGATTGATTGATTGATTGATTAGGGAATTCATCCAAAAACAGCACATTCTGAGTTTAATATAAACAATATTTATTTTTGCATAATTTACACCACCAAACCTTTCTAATTTAATGTGATGTGTATTTATGTAGCGCATTTATTGCGTATGGTCATAGGCCCAAAGCGCATCACAATCATAAGAGGAGTGTCTCTCCACACTATCACCAGTGTGCAGGATCCACTTGGATGATGCAACGGCAGCCACAGGACAACCATGCCAGTGCAATCAGCACACCAGATATAGGGGGAGTGGAGAGAAGGTGATAGAGCCAATTCTGTGGATGGGGATAATTGGGAGGCTATGATCGTTAAGGGCTGATAAAGGAAATTTGGCCAGAATACCGGAGTTATGCTGTGTTTATTTGCTTTAGGTAGGCTGGTAAACAGCGCCGATTTGTTTGGACACATTTGTCAAGTCCATTAAATCCATTTTGAGGTGCACCCAGTTCTGTGAGCTCATAAACTCCTTCAGAAACTATATCTGGATGATGGAAGCTTTCAGCGGTGCTTCCGACTGAGCCGAGCTCAGTTTAATAAACAGTTGTCTGGTGTCGGCAAGAGGATTTTCCCTAGGACACCTACAACAGGAACTACGCCATAGTCTCTCCCCTACAAGAGAAAGCTCCTGATTGGTTAATGCGGCATGAAAGTCCGCTGAAGTTCAGATTTTCCATTGAATAGTGCCACAGGATGTCTATTTACGTATTTGCATTGAATTAACATATAAATCACTTGTGCTTGACGCTTCTTCTGCATGAGCACAGCATTACACCCCTGCTATTTTCAAGAAGTGCCATGGGATTTTGAATGATTAGAGAGAGTCTGTTTAATGATCAGGACCTCGGTTTAATGCTCATCCGAAAGACGCCACTCACTGACAGTATAGCGTCCCCTTCACTTTACTGGGGCATTAGGACTCACACAGACTGCAGGTTGAGTGCCCCCTGATGGCCTCACTAACACCACTTCCAACAGCAACCTAGCTCCCAAGTGGTCTTCGATCAAGGTGCTGACCAGGCTCAGCCCTCCTTAGCTTCATTGAGTAACCGGTCTTGGACTGCAAAGTGATATGGTTGTGGTCACATTCTAACTTGTTATACAAATTATACCAGCTATAATATTATATACATTTATTTTTTGACATGTTTTTAATTTATAGCATTGGTTTTGATCAGCTGAGTTAACTTTTTTTTTTTTTTAATTTAAGCACCTCTTTCCACTGACTTTGTATTTAAAAATAGTTCAAAACAAATCTAAGCTTCTAGCCGGATTAGCAGGTAACTAACAACTTACAGGTTAATTTGCAGCAGGATTTTTCTTCAGGAGCATCCTAACTGTGCTTCTATTTGTGGTTGACCAGAAGAGAGAGTGAGTAAGGTTGAACAAGGTGAGACAGAGGAGAATATAAATACTCACAGGGAGAGGGAAAGTTTACTAGGCCTTGTGAACAGATGTTATGCTCTCTTCATTAAGTGTGTGTAAGCGGCCACAGATACACACAGACACTCCAAGGCTAAAGTAATGCTCCAGAAAGCAGTTTGATGAACTGTTTTAATGACCAACATTCTCTCAGCAGGCACTTAGCATGATTTGCCCACCACAGACCAAACATCTGTGTGGTTTGTGTACTGAGGTGGACAGATTGAACTCTTTTATATCACGATTTTTTTTTTACATAGGAAACCTCACCATGGTTTATAAATGGAAACAAACGTTTTATTTTGATCCTGATTGTTTATACTGAAGAGATTCAGGCTTGAATATGAACTGTGATGCACCAAACACACTAGACTATGTTTAAGTTATAGTCAGCATCAAAAAGTCTATATAAACTACGAGTGTTTCATCAACAGAAAAAAAAGATTACAGGAATTCAAACTTGGCATCTATATTTCAGCAATTACTACATTGGCACAGCCCTGTAATATTTGGAAAGGAGACTTTTCATGAAACCAAAATAGGAACATTACTGACCTCATAAACACAGAATGACTAACGCAATCCTTATAAGGTGTCTTAGGCGAAATATTCTATTACCCCCGGCTCACTCGGGTCGGACATGTATGTCAATGCAGGCTGACAGACAACAGGCAGCATGTTTGGCTGACAATCCAAACCTCACAATCAGTCAGGCCCTTATACATATGTTCTCCAGAGAAATAAAGCATGCTCAAACCCAGGCTTCAAGTTTAATCTGATGCGGTGTTCCCAAAAAAAAATGCATACTGCACCATGATCAGATTCCTTGACTGACTCTTATCCCAATCCCTGTAGACAAAACAGATCTCTATGGCCTGACATAAGTTAAGTATCTCTCTCTCTTTCTCTCTCTCTCTCTCTCTCTTTCTCTCTCTCTCTCTCTCTCTCTCTTTTTCTCTCTTTCTTTTTCTCTCTCTCTCTCACTCTCTCTCTCTCTTTCTCTCTCTCAGCTGGTAACTCTGATACTGCTGGATTGAATTAGCAGGCTTTTTTGATGCCCTGCTGCTAAAGTGTTTGCACAAGTTTGAATCGGTGATCTGGAATGACGTTATATGGTCAATGTGTGTATGTGTGAGCAATAAGAGACAGGTCCTTTTTCTGATGTAGGATTTGCCTTTAACTAACAGGGCATTTGGGAAAAGTTAAAAGAGAAGCAAAAAAATGGCACTGACTTGAAGTTTGCACTTTGGAATAGGATCATGCACCACAAAGACCCTGAGGAGACTGTGTGTGTGTGTTGAGGGAACTTGTGTGTGCCTGCATCCCTGTAAGCAATTACTGCAATTTCTTCCCTTTTTTCTGATGCATGTTGAGAGGTTTTAAGTAGGTCAGTACTGTCAGTAGATTTGTTTATAATTGCAGTTATAATCAAGTTTTTGAATAGTCCAGCTATAGTCTGAGGCATCAGAGTATGATTAACATATATACAAGTTGGATAAAACAACAATCACATTTTCTCTGACTGGTAGTCTGCATGGCTCAAAAAACAGACCGGTCCAATTTTAGTCAGAGGGAAAATGAGTACAAGTTTTTAAAAGATACATTTCTGCTTCAGTCTTAAGTGAACTTACAGCAGAGACCCTTTTTTGGTTTTTAAAACCACTGTCAGGATTTAATCATGACACACGGTGTATTAATCTTGCAATTAATGGCAGGAGAGAGTTTAAATGATCAATATAAAGTGATTTTTTTTTGTAGATTTCAGAGTTTTGCAGTAGTTGATTTACTTGTTTACTTGTATGCGGCCACTGGCTCATTTTGAAAACGTAGCCCTATACATTTCAGGAGATCGTGAATTATGTAGTCAGAAGTACGTATGTCTGCATTTAGTTTTTGAAACAAACACTAAGGGGAGGTATGACGCTGTTCCTTTTTAAGCTTACCAGCTGACCACTTACCTTCATATGGACGGCTTTCCCGCTGTTACCAGTTTTCTAGCTTGCCATGGATGTTGGAAAACTTGAGACACAGAGAGGATTTGACCAAGACAGGGTTCTAGTCTGGTTCCAGAAAGTGGGTAAGACAAAAACAGAATCCAAAAAATTAAATAAATAGGTAAATAACAGGGTGACGATGTGGTCAAATCTGAAAACGTGGTGAAAATCAAGTGATGGCTTTTCTTTTTCTGGATTGCTTTTTTAAAATTGTTGGTTGGGTTGAGGGAAGTGGGTGGGCGCTGGTCCATCGGTTCTTTTGAAAACGCTATTGGTTGGGTTTAGGGAAGGAGGAGGGTGGGTCAGTCAATCTGTCAGTCAGTCAGTCAGTCAGTGATTTAGTCAACAGCAGCCTCTGGTGGGTTTACACAAAAACAACATGTGCGAAAGACACTTGCAAGAGAAATTTGAGATCTGAAAAAGCATACACAGCAGCCTCTGGTGAATTCAAGAAAAACAAAAGGGAAGTTTTTTTTAAAAACTGTTGTTGAGAGAATCACCTGCTTATGATTTCTTGCGGCTAAACCTGCATTATTCAATTTATGATTCACCAGTCAGACGATTCCTAGACCACTATAAATACCCTCCAAATAACAGCCATCTTCGTTTTGAAGAACCCCCCCATTCCACCCCTACTTCTCCTCTTTTCCTAGATGGGTGGCATGGTGGCCCAGTGGTTAGCACTGTTGCCTCACAGCAAGAACTTCACTGGTTCTAGTCCTTACCAAGCTAGTATGCTTTTAGAAAATCATGTAAGTAAATAGTTTTTTTATGTGCAGTATCCCTTTAAAGGTCCCATGAAATTCAAATAAAGTTGCTTAGATGTTAGTATCAGTATTGTACTAATGCACACCAAAATTCGCGTTTATGAGATATAAAACTGTTAAGCATTTAAAGCTTGTAGTTTGTCACACCTCATACAGCAGAGTTTTCATCAAATCAGTGACCAATCAAATGCTCTCTAGTATCTGACATGCCCCGCCCCCTTCAAGACCTGCATATTTGATGTGCTCGAGCTCAACCATTCTCACTGACAGAGGAGTGATAAAGCAAAATGCTAATGGTTGTTTATTTTAAAGGGGAGGAGCAAACTTTTTCCCCACCCTTTCTTTATGTTTCACTTGAGATTATATCAAAAAATAAATAAAAATGCACAGTTCAAAGCACTTCA